TTGGTAAATAAGTCTATATTGGTCATCTTATACAATTACTTGATATTATTACTAATATTGTGAATTTATAAAGGCAAAAGAAAGATTAACGATAATATTGAATATAATGATAATGGTATATATAAATTTATTTTAAGTAATCAAATAATGATAATATACTTAATCTTTTGATATATTTCAGATGAAAAAAGTAAACAAATCAAATTCAATGAGAATATTCGCAATGAATCTAATTATAGTAAGTAATAATAATTCAAGGACAATCCATCCATAAATTACATAAATTAATTATTTTAATAATTTATAGATTATATTTCTAAAACAATAAATTTTGATATATAATTTATTTTTGAAATCGCATATTTGATATATAACATATCTATTCATAATATAAACTTTGAATATTATATTTTTAAATCCCTCAATATAATAATCCTATTTGATCGAATATTTTTGTTAATTACATGATATTTGCGATTTTTTGATACTTTAAAACTCATTTAGAATATTATGTAACATCGGCTTTGATAGATATAAATTTACTAGCATAAAACTCACAATTTAACTATTTGTTCAAATCATATCTAAGTTGAATATATGAGGTATTACATATTTATTTCATCAAGAAATAAATTTATGCGGCAATAATTAAAATTTACTAAAAATTTATAATTCAAAATACTTAATCATATTGAAAATTGACCTATCCTACCCTATAATCTTCAAATATGTTCTCTAGTTATTTTGCTAAATATTCCTTCCTTATATTATTATAGTTTAACTGTACTGTAATCAACCATTTTTTAACTTTCCTAATAACAATATAAGATAGTTATTAATGTATATCTAGAAACAGTTTAAAAGGAGACAATTATATTTTAATAAAAACAAATTACAAATGTGAGAACATTGCGTCATATAAAAAGTCAAAGAGCTTATAAAAGAACACATAAATTGCAAAGTTGGTAAGTTTATTAGTTGCGAATGAACTTTAGAATTTTAGCATTTCACATAATTTAGAAATTTGAGACTAGTAATTAATATACATAGATATATCAAACTCAAGGATTTGAAATTTACGCGCTGCGGCACAATCATTAAAAATAAGAGAATGGATTACGAGATAATATTTCCGCCTGAGATACCTATATCAGTAAAATGACACTTAAACATTAATAGCTTATCTCCACATGAATATCCTATAACTACCTTCAAAGTAAAGATTGGAACCGTTTTTATTTCCGAATACCGATTTTAAATATTTTCAAAAAATCTGACGCGGTTTAAATCAGTTGCAATCGATGACCGGGTCAATTCTAGGGCTCGGCCCGAATCGAAACCGGCTTAAAGAACCGGGTTGAATCAATATCAATTCAACTTCCAATTTAACTATTTTAGATATATAATCGAAATATTTATTAAATTTATATTAAAAGTAAAAATATCATTTTCTAGTTAGGATTTTCTTTTTCGATCCGAAAGAAAGGATGAGCGAAATTCTATACTTCGTTTCTTAATAATACTTTTTGTGCCTGTGGTTTTGATTCGTTAGTTGTAAGTTTTGTAATAGTTTCTGTATCTGAAAAAGTAGATGTTTCGCCATAATGAAAATAAAACATGCATAAAAAAAGAGTGCAAAAAAGAAAGAGTAAATATATGGGAAAATCTCGTTCGAGAAACTAAATATGGAATTATTTTATAACAAATTATTTTTAGGTAAACCGGATTTTCCAACCGGTTGCATTCGTTTATATAGCAATCGGTTTTGCTTTGCTTTAAAATTTGGAACCGGATATTTTCAAACCGGGTAGACCCGAATTTAAAACCGAATTGTTATAACCGGGTAAAATCTCTACTTAAAGCACTAACGCTAAGTACAGACTTTCTTAAAGTTTGTATTTAATCCCGACTATTTTCATTATAATCACTACAAGAAGCAAAATAATTTTGCTTTTCTCTTCCGGTACATTAGCTGATTTTATAGTTTGATATTTGACAACTAATTAAGTTTCTATAAATTTAATTGTCTCACATTCTTAGAATACAGTATTCGTAAATAAACATCTAGCGATACTTACTGTCTGTATTTATACTCGTTTGGATAATTATTTTAGAAAATGTTCACAAGCTTTGGAATATATTGATATCTCATATTATTCATGAAGAAGTTTTTAAATCAGGCAAATGTTGTAGAAACTAATTCTTGCTATTTATTCAATCATGGGCTCTGTTGTTACGTGGGATAAGTAGAATGATAGTTACTTTGAAATTGTTGTTTTGGTGATAAATGATTTTTTTAGTAACTACTGCATTAAAAAATGTGACCCTTTTACAGTCAGGAAAAACTTATCTCCATCAATTGATCATTTCTTTTTTTTTTTTTAAAAAACAAAAAAAAAAAAATAATTAAAGGTAAGATTGCCACCTTATTTATTAATCACATAAAAAACTTACCTTGAACCTGACCTAGGCCTTTCAAATTAATATAGCTATAAAATCAGAAATTCAAATTATTAATTACAAAAATCCAAACATAAAGGTAATTTATTATGAAACGCGTGCAAAAGCAGATTTTATAAATAAAACATTGAAAATAAGAAATTTCGCATTATTCTTAAATAACAAGTTTACACCTTTCCGTCATCGATCCGATTAAATTTTTAATAATATCCTGGTAAATTTTTGACCATTTCTACATAAAGTTATCAATATTCGAATATTATGTAGTTGCCGTAACTAGTCAGAACTTTATACGGTTGAGACATTTTCTTTCAGGCTACATGACTTGTATGCTAGATGTAATCATCTTTTTCAAATCACAAAACATAAATATTTTATATGTGTCAAAAATCTTGGAAGTTTTAGATAAAATTAACAGAATTGTGGCTGGATATTTAGTTACTGAAAAGTAGGAATCTTAGAACAAGGGTTATTTAAGTATTAATGTTTGTATTCATTAAACTATTACTAAATTTCTCCGATAGAGGCAGTAATAGAAAATATACTTCGTAAAAAAATAGTCGAACTTCTATTTAATTAGAAGAATAGCCGATTGTATTGTGTTATCTAAATAAAAATGTTTAATTTTTGTAATATATTTTGAATGATTTAATTTGGGTTTCTGTTCGTTGTCACATTCGATTATATAATTTCCCTCATCCTCAATAATTGAATCTTGAATTAATAGAATACTTGTAGTCTTAGAATCTAAAAATTCTAAACAAAATGCACCTTCATTTACGAAATTAATTTTCAGTTTCGTTTTTCCTTAACGTTAATATAAAAAAATTAAACAAAAATATATATTAAATATAAAATAAATTATTTCTTACCTTTATAAAAAATATTGTTTCGGCTTTTTCAACAGAACAAATTAAAATTCAATCCTCATTTTTCCCTTCATAAAAGTTGTTAATATTACTTGAAGTTATAGAGTATATACAACTTAAGTAATATCCGATATAGCATATAGCTTATTATATTAGCTGCTCTTAATTTTTTTGAACAAGCTATTTTGATTTTTTTCGGCGTTTTAACCATTTTTTTAAAGCAACAACTTTTTTCATTCAAAACTCTTTATAATTTTGAACATGTATGATTCCCTTTAAGCTCTATTTTGTTGGTTCGACATTGTGTCGCAATGAGAAAATTATGTTTTTTAGCAAAAACAAATTGATTTTTTACGTAAATTTCCAGTTTTATTAGGAAGTGAGAAAAAATTTTTTTAGAGATTTAGTCAATAAATTACCGAAAATCAGTTTCTTACCATTTTTTCTGGTCATTATGCGAAGGATAACTAACCTTGCTAAACTTAAAATCTGAGCTTCTCTTAACTCTCAATATTAAGAATTCAAGCTTTCTTGGCGTCACATTAACAGTTAACATTTTTAGTTTTTTTATTTTAATCAGTTTCTCTAGAGAAATCGGAAATTGGTTTATAAGAGTACGTATCGAGGGGACGAAAATTTTCGAAAAAAAGATATACAGATTCAACTATGTTAGACTTGACAATTTAAAAGCCAATATAATATTGGTGATTACACTAGTGCTTGCATTCGAAATAAAAAAATTAAAAAAGTACCTACGATAAAAAAATTTATATTCAAATATATGATGATGGGGGTAACTCATTACCAAATTTCGATAGATAGTCAAGAAATGTTTAAATATTTGTAAGAGATGTAAATGACAAATCAAAATACACCAATTTTTGTAATAAACAGAATTACTTGATATAAGTTGAAAATAAGGATGGTATAAATTATTATCGCTATAATTAAATTTCATTAAAAAGAATTTTTTAAATGATTTCTATACAAAAAGATGATGACTATTTCCAAGTACTTTATTCAGTAATTTGAAAGAGTCGAATATTATTAACTTGGTTAATTTTATACCGTAACTCGTATCCGCATGATATTTTTGCATAACCGCATTATAGAGAAAAATTTTTTGAAAAGTTCATCGTTTAAGCAGTGGAACCTATATCTTTGAATATCTATAATAATAATATTTAAATAAACCGATTTCAAAATATAATAGCTAACTGCATACATTAGTAATTATTGAATTATTATGATCACAAGGTAAAAAATTTGTATTTCCACATTTTAAATGTAAATTTACTTCTCATCAGATCGGCTTATTGGTTAACGTGAACCCTTGTAATAAGTCTAGAATTTTTATTCTTAATTCTATAATATACAAAAAAATAATTGGAACTTCAAAAAAAATAAAAAAATATTTTTAAAACGAAGTATAAAATTCATGGTGTTACCAAATAATTTATGGTTACACAAATTTCATGCAATAAAATTTAGAAAAATTTGCACAAGCATGTGTGTGCTTGTGTTTGTGGTTAATTAATTATGCATTATCCGGACCAATCCGGTCTCGTTGTGCATGTCATAAAGATTCTGGTAGAACTTGATAAATTCTATTATTTAAAGGGTGTTGTCTTCCCTCTAAAATTAACATTTATATTATATTTTATTCCAGAAATGTGTCACGAAATAATTAACTTAGAACAAATCAAATCCGATAAACCTCATGAAGGTAGTCAAATTACTATCATAGAAATATCACCGAATGCAAATTACATTGTAACTTATAGTGAAAAAGATAAAACAATTGTCGGGTGGAATATTGAAGATGAAGAGGGTAAACTTAAATCTGATTGTACCTTTAATTCCGATAAAATTTTTCGCGTTAAAAAAACTGAGGAATTCGATGAGGAAGATAAAAAAAAATTTTTTCACATGTGTGTCTCTGATAAGAAGAAACTAGTACTCAGTTATGTTGAATATGGTTCACATATTGAAGGGAATGTGCATGATTACTTGAGTAAGTATAATAATAAAAACTTGAAAATTTTATAAAATCATTTTGTATATATCATTGTAATTAATAAATTTTATATGACAATTCTCTAGGGTTAATTGATATGAAGAATCAAAATCGAGAAATGGAGTTATATTTTAAATTTGGAATTGATCGATTTTACTGTAACTTTAATTCAAAAGAGGAATTTATTTTATTTAGTATACATGAAAATACATTAGATGACCCTTTTTTTGATAAATCGGTCAGCCTTTTGAATAATCAAAAGTATTCTACTAGTATTATTTGGATTCATTCAACACAAACAGCAAGATGGAAGTGTAAAAAGATTTATGAGGTACCTCAAGGAGCGGAGTTGATAGGCCTATCAAAACATGATAGGATTCAATTTCGTTTAAATAACAATATATATGAACGGAGCATTATTGATGATAAAATTTTGTCAAAAATATCAAAAAGTTTACAGATTAAAACGAAAGACATCAAAATGTCTAGTAAAGAAGGATTCATTTATCTGAAAATAAATGATGAAATTACAGTTTATTCAACTGAACCAGTGACACCTATTATGTCGTTTGATTTAAAAGTTGAAAATCATGGTATATTTAATTTATAAATAATTTTTTGTAAAATATAACTTCAATTTCAAGACATTAATTAAAGTAATTTACTTAGATAAAATATATAATTTTATTAAGAAAGATGCCGTCCTACATTGTTTATTACTTTCGTTATTTGATTATAATTCAATTAACAAACTTCGAGATACTATTAATAAATACTGTCGGAAACTTTGCCCAGATAACACAATCGAGATTTTACCAAATATTTCAAGTCTGCTTTATGATTACCAATCAAAAAAATATATATTTTGTGGTAATAGACGGATATGTATGGAAAATTAAATTTGACGAACTTGAATTCGATGAGATAAAATTAGATATAAATCACAATTTATTAAAGGAATTCGAAGCCGATGAAGTCACAGAAAGTTGGAATGCTTATTTCGGAATAGAAAAGGACAACAGTGAATACGAGAATCCATTCATATCATTTGAGAATAATAATATATCAAATTTATTACTAGATGTAACTTATGAATATGAATCAAAGGGTATTAAACTGAAAACTTATACTAATAATGAAATGATTGGATTTATTGGATTACGTGTATTTAGAAATGAAAAGATAATCGAAAAATTTGAAAAAACCAAATATAATAAGGTGATAAATATATATGAAGCAAAGATATTTAATAGTAAAGAGATTATTATATTGACGAATGTTGGCATTTTTATTTTCCATTTAAAAGATGATGATTTGATTTTAAATTATTTTCTCTTTTGTTTGAATGAAGTACGTCGGCTCGCATACTATATTGATGAATCTTTTTGGGTTTCACTTGGAGAAAACGATAGATACAAATTTTTGAAATATGGTGTAAAACTAATAACTGCAATTAAGAAACGTGATATAGAATCAGTTGATAATATTTATAAGAAATGCATAGATTGTTTTAAACGAGATTTAGCAAATAATAAAGCGTTTTTAAGCATTATCACATATTCGATGTCATTATTGAACCAATACTATCCTGAATATATCATAAAATATTTATGTGATACAGACATGATAATAGATTCTCTTGATTATGACATAGGACGGCTGAATTCCTCACACCTTTATCCCTATGAAGGTTTTAAATTAGTTAATTTAACACGATCTATTCCGTGGACAAAATATAATTATTTTTTGAAAAAGATTGTTAATAAATCATATGGAAAATTACTTTTAATTATCGAATTCTGTATATGCATATATATTTTCCCTCTTACTTATTTAATATATTATGTTTTAGATCATTTTAATATTGTTAATAATATTACGATTATTGATAGATCTGCCTATTTATATTATAGATTGTATTGTTCTTCAAAACCTACAATTACCTTTATGCTACCTTATTACAAATTTGTTAATTATCCAGAAAAATATAATATGTTGAATGAATTTATTCAACCTCAACATAGTCCATTCACGATAACAAGGACTAGTGAAATTTGTAAAACTTGGGGTGGCGAGGCATTAATTAATTTTAAGTGGAACACTTATGGAAAATATTATTTTGCTATGATTTGGATGGGGTTTAATGCTTTATTTGGATGCTTCACTGCTGCTGCAATACTTTCTGAAGATTATATTGAAACTAGGGTTAATCTTTTTATTGCTTCATGTTTATTAGCCATAATTCACTTTTTTTTGGCATACCGACGACTAATTGATAGTAATTACTCTATTTATTCTGTATTTGGTACGTTGAAATATTTAATGAAAGTTTTTTTTTTAATAATAATAACATTGTAATTATTAATTTATTTTATTATATATGCTGCAGCATATTTGTTTATATCTTATACTAGTTTTTACTCTATAAATCATTTTGAAGAAACTACATCTTTACGATCATTTACATGTCTAATTTTAGTTTTAAAATTCTTAACGTTCTTTAGAGTATTTGAAGCTTTTGGAGTATATTTTACAATTATTATAAATGCTGCAAAAAAAATTTCTTATTTTTTATTTATTTTGTTTATCATAATTATTGGATTTGCTCTTTCCTTTTATATTCTCTTAAGACCAAAACTTCAATATTCATTAGATAATTATACAAAAAATGAGGATCAAAATAATCCTTGGAACATTGCTTCTTCTTATAATCAAATACTTGAAGATGATTCAATTAGTACAAATCCATTTATTATTCAAAAACCTTACGAAAATACAAATATGTTTGCTGATTTCAGAACTGCACTTTTTGCAATATTTTTAACCTTATCAGGTATATTTATATAAAGTATTGCAATTCAATCTTTTAATCATATCATATTTACTCTTTTAAATAATTTAATTTATTATAGGTGATCTAAGCACTTTGGGGAATTGGTCACATAAAGAGAATTCATACTTTGTTATTTTATTGACTTTATTCGTTTCCATTGTCGTCATATATCTTTTGAATTTACTTCTCGGGTTGCTTAATAAAGCAATTGATGAAGATAATAATAGAATTTCATACTTGATGCATAAAGCGGAAGTTTTTATTTAGATTTTGACATCGTATTATATTATTAAACTGTTTTAATATATTAACAAATATTTTAATTTTTTTTTTATAGATTTTAAGAGTAATTGAATTATTTTACTTATTGCCACCTCAAAGACGTTGGAAGTCTTGGTTTCCTGATGTAATGTAAGTTATTACTCAATTCAGTTATAATTTTTTTATTTTAAAGTTTAATTTAATATAAAATTTTTATTTTACTAGTTATTATCATTCTGATGTTGATGAAACACGAAAAAAGGTTAATGATTTAATTAAAAAGGGTGAATGGGATCCTGAAAAATTAGAATTCTCTGAAATGAAAAAAAATTTATTAAAAAAACTAAATATTAAATATGATCCTTGATGTTTAAGTTAGTAATTATTATTGTAAAAAGAAAAAATAAGTTTTTAAAAGAATATAGAGGTTTCTTATATATGTAACATTTATATCTTTTTATGACGCATGTCATAGCTACCATTGACAATGTAAACTTTTCGTTAAATTTTGAATTATTCTTATGAAAAAAAAATTAATAAATTAGTTTTTTCTTGGAAAAATAACCATACGAAATATTTTACATATTATTTAAAAAAGTCTAACATACAGAACTTATAACCTTCTTTCCTTTAAATTTTATGTAATCGTGAACGTTTTGTTGAGATTCACTGAAGTTTCTAAATTTTTACTATGAGCAAGTGAACTAGTAAATAAGTGCATTTGCGAAATTTTCAAATAATCAAGTGAACTACATTTGATTAAATAAACATATGTAGGAGGTTGTTATTAAAGTCACGTTATGGATCATATCATTTACTATATTCGTAACTTGATTTTTATAGCAAAACTCCCATATGAGCTAATCCAATTGCATTGCCTACCTGCCAGTAATTCTATTTTCATAAATTTAAAACATCTCAAAAATAAAAAAAATTTAACATCGTACAAAAATTGAATTTATTTCTCTGCCCCCAAAATTTTTAAATTAAACTGTTTTAAAGTGTTCATTAAACGATGCAATATATGGAGACATGATGGATGTTTAAATTAAAATGAGCATTAATCTAACAATAAGGTGCAAATTTTGAAGATGCAAAGGCAAACTTATATGAAAAATATTTCTCATTTTATCAAGTGGGTAACTATTTTATTTATTCGAATAAATAACTATTTTATTATTAACGTTATGATATGATCAAAGGAATCATATTTAGCGCTCTTATTTTTCTTTGTATGAAATTTACATGATAATAGTAATTTTAAAAGAGTAATTATTAATGCAAAATATGCATGTTTACTGTTCAAGTTCAAAGAATACGCCGAAAATACTTTTCAAACTAAGAGGGAGTGTTTAATCAAAAAGAAACCTATTTTCTATAAATTTGATATTTAACGTTATTACATACTTATTAAAAAAGAAATTGTTTAATAAAATTTAATTAATGAAAAATCTTTTATTTCACTTTCAACGGCCTTTTTAGATCTAAGTGAGACTGAGAAATAGAAACCTAAATTCTTTAACCGGTGTTAGGCCTGGAATCAAGACGATTTATTATCACGATTCACTCATGTAGTTAGTTATCACAATCAGAACCTTGTATGAGGACAAGAAGTGTAAAATAAAATTATTCGATTCATGACAATCGCATTGTTAATTATCTGAGGCGCAGTACGATTCGTAACACCGGGTTAAAATTAACTTGGGAGATTACTATAAATTTGGCCGGAGTTAGACAACGTCATGAAATCTTTAATTCTGTCTGGATATTGAATTTCGGCCGGATTTAAATTAACCTATTTTAAAAAACCTTTAGCCGGAAAATTATTTTTGCAATTATTGTCTCATGAAAAATTTATTTTTCGAGTATTTTAGTTTGTTAAAAGTTAGCTTAAATTTTATTGAACTTTATCACTTGCAATTTTATATACAGTGGCGATCATAAATAATGCAACAAAAAAATAAATTTCATTAAAACGAAATGTTTCTTGTCATTACGGAAATAAATAAATTTTTTTTTTGTTATTTTTATTATTAACGTTAATACTATAATTTCCTAATACTAAAATTTAAACATTAATTAATAATTAAATTATTTTATAAGTGTATAATTATTC